TGTGTACGTATGTGTGAGTGTGTGTAAGGGGTAACAGGTGTGTGCACGGGTGTGTGTGTGTGTGTATGTGTATATGTGGGGGTGCGTGTGCACAGGTGTGTGGGGTGGTGCTAATTCATGTGCCTTTGCAGAGGGAGGGTGATGGGCAGGGTTGGCGCCACCTAGTGAGACCAGGAGGAATAGTGGCTCTGCTCTCTCCCTGTCCTCAGCTGATGGCCGTGGTGGCCAGCACCATCCTGGGCCTGATCAGAAACATGCGGGCTTTCGGCGGGATCCTGGTGGTGAGTCTGGCCGCCGTGTGGGCCTGGGTGGGGTGGTCGCTCAGTGGGAGTTGGGCTGTGGGTTGGGCGAGCTGGGGGGAAGCACCAGGGCAGGAGGCCAGAGCGTCCCCTTCGTGCCAGACAGCTTTTCAGTCACTTTCAAATCCCTCCTGTTTTCTGGGCCATCAGCTCTGCCCCTGGCCCAGCCTGGTCAGGTGGGGCCCTGGTGCTGCTCCAGGCACAAGGCCTGTGGGCCGGATACTCGGTGACAGTGACGAGGTAGAGAGCCCTGCTGCGCAGATGGTGCCGCTGGTGGCCTTTTTGTCCTTTATGTTGAACAACACCCTGGGGGTGGGGAGCCCATGCCCTCCAGGAGGCTAGAAATAGGATCTTGCATCAGGCCCCGTCCCAGACCCCTATTTGCACATTGGAGGAAACTGAGGCATAGGAGGGGGCTGGGTTAGTCCAGAGTGTGCACCCCTCTCCAGTCCACCTGGCACCTTCAGGATAGGCCAGGGCTCAGGCAGCAGCCCCCTCCTCCAGGCTCTGGGGTGGTGCTCCCTTGGACGCCCCCTGGGGATGTGGGAAAACATGGTGGGGACTTCTATCTGGAGAGGCCTGATCTTCCCCTCCCTTCCCTGGGACCAGCTTCTCCCTAGCCCAGCTTCCCCCTGGGTCCAGCTTCTGGGCCCAGCTTCTCCCGGGACCAGCTTCTTCTGGGCCCAGCTTCTGGGCCCAGCTTCTCCCGGGACCAGCTTCTTCCTGGCCCAGCTTCTTCCGGGCCCAGCTCCTCCTGGGCCCAGCTCCTCCCGGGACCAGCTCCTCCCTGGCCAAGCTTCCTCTGGGACCAGCTTCTCCCTGGCCCAGCTTCTCCCGGGACCAGCTTCTTCTGGGCCCAGCTTCTCTCTGGCCCAGTTTCCTCCGGGCCCAGCTTTTGCCGGGACCAGCTCCTCCCGGGACCAGCTCCTCCCAGGACCAGCTCCTCCCGGGACCAGCTCCTCCCGGGACCAGCTCCTCCCGGGACCAGCTCCTCCCGGGCCCAGCTTCTCCTGGGCCCAGCTTCTCCCTGGCCCAGTTTCCTCCGGGCCCAGCTTTTGCCGGGACCAGCTCCTCCCGGGACCAGCTCCTCCCGGGCCCAGCTTCTCGCCCTGTTGTGGAATCCTCCTCGTCACTCTCCCTGCCACACTGGTCCTGACGGGGCAGGCAGCCTTCGCTTCCTTGGCCTCCCCCTGGGCCCCAGTGTATCTGTGGGGCTCCCCGGTGGTGACTCCTCCCTTCTCCCCTTCAGCCACTATCCTGTGCCTCTGGAGCAGGTGGGTGGCCAGGAGCGGGTGTCTGGAAGTAGAGCCAAGTGTTGTGGGGGGCCAGCAGCGCCCATCGTTGGGGGCCGTGGCCAGGCTGGGAACCCTCACAGGCCAGCCTGGCTCTGTCCTCCTCTGGGCGGGGCTGCCCCCGCTGACCGAGCCCTGCCTCCGCAGGTGGTGTACTACGTCTTTGCCATCGTTGGCATCAACCTGTTCCGGGGTGCCATTGTGCCTCCTCCCGGAAACATCAGGTGAGGTGGGGCCTAAGGTGCCGAAGGAGCACTGGTGTGGGGGTGGGGGGTGGGACAGGTGTGAGGCCTCGGCAGCGTGTGGGTCAGCTCTCCAAGAGGAGTCTCCTGCTCTTTTCTCTTTCTTCCCTGTCCCCTGCCCTCCCCTTCCCCCTGGACCCCTGGCCTAGAGTCTGTGCTGACTGTTCCGATATCTGCTCAGAGCAGCCCTCCCAACCCCTGTTGGACCTTGAGCTCCTCCACTCAGCTCCCCCTAGGCTCCCCCCATAGACTCCCCGCCGAGGCCCCCCACCGGGCCGGTGCTGGCAGGGCTGTGAATGTAGAGCTGACGGCTGGCCACAGCTCTTGCCTCCCAGCCGCCCTCACAGACCCTCCGGAGGTCAGGGGCATTTCTTCTGCCTGTTTCTGGGGGCCCAGAGAGGGTTCCACGCTGTGCAGGGGCTAAGGTGGTGTAGGGCACGCCTGGTGTGCATGTCCTACACCCCACCTGACCCGCCTGTGTCCCAGCCTGGCCCCTAACGGCTCGGCGCCCTGCGGCAGCTACGAGCAGCTGGAGTACTGGGCCAACAACTTCGACGACTTTGCGGTGAGTCCCTCCCCCTTGCTTCCCGGGACCCCGGCCCCCTGCCTCCCGCACCCTCCTTGACCGTGCCCGTTGCTCACAGGCTGCCCTGGTCACGCTGTGGAACGTGATGGTCGTGAACAACTGGCAGGTGTTCCTGGACGCCTATCAGCGCTACTCGGGCCCGTGAGTGACCCGCCGGCTCCCGCCCGTCCTCCCGCGCCCTTGCCCGGGACTCTGGGTGGCACCTGGCGTCGCTGGGGATGTGTGGGAGCCGCATAGGCCCTGGAAACACCTGGGGGGTTCCTTGGGTGCCTGTGGGGCTGGTGGGCGTGGAGGAGGGAGCCTGGAGGGAGCTGGGTGGAGGAGGGGGAGTCTGGGGGAAGCCGGGGGAGGAACTCAGCCTGGAGCGCAGCCCAGCCCCGGGCATGGTCCTGGTCCAGCCCCAGCTCCACCTCCTGCTGGCCCTGCCGCCTTGGGCAGCTCATTGTCTTGGCTTCTGGGCATCTCTAAAGTGGGAGGACGTCACGGGGTTACCGGGCAGGACCCAGACTCGTGGCGGGGTCTGTGCTCCTCCGGTGGTCTCGCTGTGCTCACGGTGGGCCTGCGCGAGCCTCCTCCTCATCCTCCGCAGGTGGTCCAAGATCTACTTTGTGTTGTGGTGGCTGGTGTCGTCTGTCATCTGGATCAACCTGTTTCTGGCTCTCATTCTGGAGGTACAGGGGGAGTCCTGGGGGCTTCGGGCGGCCCTGGGCTCAGTGCAGCTCACCTGTTGCTGGGAGGGTCTGGGAACAGCCCTGACGTTTGACCTGAGGGTGTCCTCAGGGCCCCGGGGGACATGTGGCTCCCAGGAGCTGGTGGCCTTGGCCCTGGACCCGGGCTTCCCGTGCCCCACACCAGGCGGGGGCGGGGCGGGGGGAGGTGAGGCTGGTTTCACGCAGGGCCGGCACCCACTGGCCTCCCTCCGCCCTCTCGCTCCCCAGAACTTCCTCCACAAGTGGGACCGCCGAGGCGAACTGCAGTCCCGCTCCGGGGACCAGATCACCGCAGTGGACCTGTTGTTCAGGTGTGCAGGCGGGGAGGGCCTGCTGCTCGGCCCCTGGGCGAGGAGGGCGGCAGGGAGGTGCGGGGCAGGCGTCCTCTGTGACAGTGACCCTCCCCACAGCCCGGGCTCCTGGCCTCCCTCTGGCGGAGCTCGAGCTCCCTGGGGTCTGGGGTTGGGGTTGGGGTCCAGGGTCGGGGTCTGTTGCTTCCGCTGCTCCTGCCGCCTGGCCGTGAACTGTCCTGTTCTCCATTGAGCATTTTCGTGGAAACATCCTGAGGTGCTGTTAGCCTCCAGGTGATTCTGTGGGTGGACGTGGACAGGTGACCGAGGACACCACCCTTGGTTCCTCTCCTAGTGGAGAAAGGTGACCGCCTCCCTCATGGGCGCTGGCTGCCTTGTCACAGTGGTTCCCTGTCCCGCCCCAGCAGCCCCCCGGGGCTTTCAGGAGCGCCAGTCACACTTCCCGCAGATGTGTCTGAGTCCCGGGTCCCGCCCTCGCCCTCCCCTGTGCACGTGTAGGAGGCTGCCCTACGCAGGGAGCCGAGCAGGGCTGGCCCAGACTGCACCTCGCTGTCTGGAAGGGCCATGCACACCTTCTCCCGGTCCTGCAGGGAGGTCCTGGAGGAGCCGACGGAGGAGGAGCTGATGGCCAAGCTGCGGCATCACCCCCACCTGCAGCTGTGCAGGTGACGTCCGTGTGCCTCCCTGGCTGGCGGATGGCGATGTGGCCTGGGGACCAACGTGGGTCCCGGGGAGAGGCAGCTGCGGCCCTAAGGAGAGACAGAGCCACTCCGCCCCCGAGGCTGTGACAGAACTGACAGAGCCGAGGCCCTGTGCACTGCCGAGCGGAACATGGCAGCTTCCGTCGGCAGCATCGCAGCACGGTCGGCGCTTCGGCAGCGTCCACGCCACGCCCTTACGTGAGCTGCTTTTACTTGTCTCAGTGCGGGAAGAGGGTGACTCCACAGGGACCTTTGAGACGGTCTGAAAGCAAGAAGCAGGCCTCCTCGGGGCCCTGCGGTTTCCGTGGTGCCTTTGCTGCCGGCGGCCTTCAGGGACCAGAGGCCCCGTGGGGCCTGCACAGGCCGCCGGCAGCTTCCCGGGCCGGTAAGTGTGGATCCTGGTGGCTTCGCACGAAGTGGGCCGTGGCTGTTTTATTACTGTATGAATTGTGTGAATGTGATTGGGTGTTTCCTTACGGGTCAGGATGCCAATATCAATGAGTTTTGCAAAGAATGAGGTTGTCGTCTTTCCTGCGACACAGTTGTCCTGCTCCTCCGGTCCTTTCAGTTGTGCACGGCACGGGTGCATTGTGGCCGGGGGCTGTCTACCCGAGGCAGGGGCCGCCTTTTTCTAATTTGCATAAAGGCGTGTATAAACCAGGCGTGGTCCTACTGTGTGTCCTCAGGGTGTGGGGGGAGGAGTGAGCAGTGTGTAGAAGGCCATGTTGCCATGTGATCCACCACAGATCCCGATGGCAGGTGGTTCCCTTGTGAACTGCCGGCTCAGGGATTGGCGATCGCTCCTGGAGGCCTCTGCTGAGGACCGGGATCTCTGTGGAAAGCATTGCTGAGGTGGATTAGTGATGTCTGCCGAGGGCACTGCACAGCCACGAGGGCACGGGTGCTGGTCACCTGGGAAGGGATGTCTGATCTCTTGTCTGGACAATGGGATGAGAGGAAAGTTTAACTGAAAAAGTAGCTTCTGAAACGTCACGAACCCAGTGCTCGGGGTTTGTAAACCCTGGGGGTGGTTTTGTACCCACACGCTGCACTTTCTGGTCCTGGAGTGGATCTGAAATCCCTCAGGTCTGGGGGACCTGTGGGGGCTGTGAGGACACTCCCAGCCCGGGCCCCTCTGCAGCTGCCTTTCCAGAAGGCAGGTTTGGGGCAGGAGAACATCCTGGAGCAGCGGCTAGAAGGTCACAGCCACCTGGCCTCGCAGAGCCCTGCTGTCTGGGTCAGGGGTGAGGCCCCCTGCATTGCTGCCCTGCTCACTCCTCCCCCGCCCTGGCCCCCCTCCACTGCTGCCGACCTCCCACAGGGTTCCACCCCAGGTCTCAGCGCCATCTAATGGCGGGATCGGGTTCTGTTGGCCTCATTTTTAATGCAGGCTGGACTCTGTGACCCCAGGATGGCTCATTGCTTTCCCCTGGCCGGCCGCAGGCTGCCTGTCTCGGGCTATGGCCCTGCCTCAGCGTCTGGGCTGCAGGCCGAGCAGGCACCGCGGGGTGGGGTGTCCTGTGCAGGTGCCAGAGCCACTCGGTGCGTCCACCCCGCCCACTTCATGTGTTGTCCCAGAGAAGTCTCCCTGACGTTTACATCCGAGCAGATGACTCTGGACGATCTGTGCTGGGCCCCGGGGGGCAGGGCTGGTTGGAGAGGCTGGCTCCACCCTCGGGCGTGGTCATTCTGGTGCCTTCTGACTGTGCAGGGCTCGTGACACTCTGAGGGGTTCCATCCGCTGTTTCAAAGGTGCCAGCCTCTGAGCCTTTGTTCCAGTGAGAGCTGGCTGGATGGAGCTCGGGCGAGGCTGCTGGTACAGGGCGGGCCGCTGGGTGACCCTGTCCGCAGTGCTCTGTGTCCCTGCCCCCGCCCAGGCCACCACGCTGCACTGGGGGAAGTCTACTGGCGACGAGCGTGTGTTCTCGTCTCAGCCGTGGTTTCCCGTGGCTGCCGTGGCTCTGGCCGGGCATCAGGGACGGGGGTCAGGGGAGTCATCCAGCATAGTGGCAAGTCAGGGACCCCTGGACTGTCGCTGCCCCGACGGAGCAGAGGCAGGAGGGTCCCCGGGCCTTAGGTGTGAAAGGCAGACTTGGAAGCACTTCACAGACTATACATATAGAAAAGAAAATGTTGATAAGCTCAGGACACGTAAGAACTTTCTTTAAAAGGCACCGCAGACAGGCAAGCCACCGCCTGGGGAAATGTGTGTAGCAGGTGCAACTGAGTAAGGACCTCTGTCTGGGCCACGTGAAAAGCTCCTATAAATTAGCAAGAAAAAGACAAACCGATAGAAAACGGGGGCTTGAACGGGTTTTTCACAGAGAAGCCAAGTCCCGTAGTGACGTGAAAAGACGTGCAGTCTCACTGATCCGAGATGCAAGGCGAGGCCGCACTGATGTGTTTCACAGCCTCGAGCAGGTCTGGCCCTGGACTGGCTGGAACCCGCGGATGTGCTTGGAGGAAGTCTGATGGATACAGCCTCTTGGGAAATAGTTTGGCATCCTTTACGGTCGTTGGCTCTGACACCTTATTCTGCTCGGGACACTGAAGAGCGGCCCCTGCCCACGTGCGCCAGCGGGTAGAACGTTGAGAGAGCAGAAGCCGGGCACCACTTACATGTCCTCGACAGAACACATGTCGAGGAGCTCTACTCACAGCACTGCACGCGGCCTCCGGCCTCAAAGAGCTGCATGAAGGGATCTTAGAAACACAACGTCGAGTGAACAAAGCAAGTTCCAGGAGACTCCGTACAGAAAAGTATTACTTATGTAAAATTCAAAACCAGAGTTAAGCCCTAACCAGTTTGGCTCAGTGGATAGAGCGTCGGCCTGCGGACTGAAGGGTCCCAGGTTCGATTCCGGTCAAGGGCATGTACCTTGGTTGCAGGCACATCCCCAGTAGGAGATGTGCAGGAGGCAGCTGATGGATGTTTCTAACTCTCTATCCCTCTCCCTTCCTCTCTGTAAGAAAATCAATAAAATACATTAAAAAAAAAACAAGAAAAAACACACCAAAGTTAATGTGCCTTCAGGGCGTGCACCCATTGGCAGTACAGTCACCTGTAGCTCAAGGGCACGGGGGCCTGCAGTCCCGGGAGGGGCCCCCTCTTGGGGAGGCAGGACCGTGGAAGGACCCGTGGTCATACGTGGGCACGTTCTGGGCGGTGTTCGCATTCTGGCTGCGTGGGGGGCATGGTCATTGCCTTAAGGACTTTGTGATGTAGGTTTATGTTACACTTTCTTTTGTACTTTCCAAATATTAACATGTAGAAGGAGGGGACAGAGGGGACGAATGAGGACGAGGAATTTTCCTGCAGAGGGGGCGGTGAAGCGGGTGACCACTGGCAGGGCGCGGGGTC